ACCCTGGAGGATCGACGTTCTCGGCAGGTGACGGACCGCGTGGTGGCGTCGACCAACTTTGTGGGTGCACGACGGTCGTCTGAGGTGGGCCAAAAACAGCGCTACCCGCTCGAGCGCTTCACGGAGGACCTCAAGATTGTGAAGGACGAGGCGGACTTCCTCGACAGGGAGGACTTTCCGAACGAGCATTTGCGCCACGACTGCAGCAAGTCGGTCGGCCGCTGTCTGAAAGAGGTGACAAACAGGGAGGGCAACGTGAGGAAGATCTGTCGGCGAACACACAATCGAGTGACGAACACACACCTTTACGAGCGAGCGCAGTCCAACCACTCAGCCAAGGTCCTGCGGATCCTCGAGAAGTGGGGGCTGACCGAAGAGTCGGAGGACCGCATCGCATGTGTGGCCGGGCTGGACGGGAGGAGCCCGATGCCAGACGGCGAGGACTATCCGCTGCTGCGCCCGGTTGTCGAGCTGGAGGGCGGCCGGCATTACCCTCCCTGTATGAAGGGCGATGAGATGATGTCTCAGTTCATTCCCGACATGGCCTTCCTCCTGTGCTGCTCGGTCAACGTCCAGATCGTCGACTACGAGTGGGTGAAGGCCTATCTCGCAAAGTGAGGCGGCGAGCAGCTGACGACACATCTCATCTCATGCATGTTTCTGTGACGGCGGTTGATGAACATCCTGCTTGCTGCTTGTCTTGCTTGAATGTTGGCAGGTATGTGGCGGGTGCCGAGGAGAAGCCGATGGCCAGCCTGAGTGTGGCTCGTGAGTCCGACGGGAACGCGCTCACCGACGTTCGCGTCAACAGCTACGGCATCCTAAACACAAAGATCGGCGGCGTGCAGGCGCGTGCGCGTCAGGCGCAGGATCAGGGAGGCCCGGCAGCAGCAGCTGCTGCTGATGGTGATAGGCAGCCACCACACGGACCACAGGACGGCACATCGGCACCACCTGACAGCGACAGCAAGAAGAAGAGGAGGCGTCGGGACACGCGTCACCGGCAGGCGCTGCGTATCTCCTATACCGAGATGCTGTGGCAGCTGCACGACTTTCCCCATGTGACCTCTTCGATCGACTGCATCCATGTCGCGTCCCTGCCTCCGGAGCTGAGGTGCGGCTGGAAGGCCCAAAATCTCGGCCTCTCGGTGGACAGCGTTCAAAACGCGCCGCCACAGCCTCACCCGGGCAACCCGCAAGGCTTCCGTTCGGGCACGCAGGCGGTGCCAGTAGAGGCGAGGCGGAGGGTTCTTCCCAACGCATTATGGCGGCAGTTCACAGAGGGTCAGCACAGGGTCATTTATGGTCTGTTTGTGAGGTGGAAGCCCTTGAACAAGGTCAGCGTCTTCGACATCCGCCCGCCAGAGCTTCACTGGATTGATTCCATTGAGGAATACTTCAAGTGAGTGAGGGAGCGGGATACACGTTGTGGGTCGGTCATGTATGAATGGATGGATGGATGGATAGATGTGATAGACGGATGGATGGATGGATGGATGGGTGTGTTTTTCTGTGTGCGTGGTGCAGGTGGATGGTGCTCTCGCAGCGTCCGCCGGCTGCGCATCGCAATCGGTACGACGTCTCTGAGGACCTCACCGTCACACCTTTGACCGACGGCGGGCTGCAGACCGTGAAGTTTCGGCAGCGGTACTTGACGGAGGCGGTGGAGGCGTGTCGACAGCGCTGTGGCTCAAGTGGCGCGTACGCGTCTCACGCTGCCATGGTCGGTTTTCTCGAGCGTCTGCAGCAAGCGGTGGTCAACAGGCACGACGAGGAGTGCAGCGGTTCGTAGAGTCGCGACCGAAGCACAATGCCAAAGAGGTGGTCATTGTGTTCTCCACCGTCAAGCCGGACAACCCCTACAAGTTCTTCATCCACCTGCTGTACCGGTTTGGTCGATTCATCTGTGATATGGACCGACCCTCCACGGTGTCGTCGCTACGTGAGAGCTTCTCGCGTGCGGGGTTGCTGAACGAGCACCCCGATGACGACTCGGCAGCTACGGCGAGAGATGCGGACCGGCTGCTGCGCTTCTCGGCGAGGCGGGAGCTCTTCAATGGGTCATACACGGCCAAAGCTTTTGACACCGCTCTGGAGCGCGCACATGAGTACATTCACGACGTCTTCTTTGGGCGCATGTTCCATGTCGGTGGCGTCCCACTGCTGGACATGGCGTCCATAGCATGGGAGCTGACAGAGCAGGTGACGGCCGCGTGGGCGGAGCGTCGCAAGCGGCTGGCCGAGACGCTCGTGGGGTGCGTAAACATCTCCGCTGCGCAGGGAGGGCCATTGGTGGAGGAGCTGAAGAGGTCGACATTGAGACAGCCCTACCTACCCTTATCGGCCGGGGCCCAGCCGCAGGGTACAGGGCCACCTGCTTGGGAGCCCGGCATCCGTCGTGCTGCATCGGTCGGCCAGACGCTGGCGTCGTTCAACGAGCAGACCGAGGTGTACGAGATGGGGTGTGAGATCCTGGATGCGGCCAGGGGTGGGCTCACTTCGTCTCGGGGCTGCTGCTAGTGGGCATGGCCGGCAGCGGCAAGACGCACGTGCTCTGTCAGCTGGCGCTCTATGCGATGGGCCTGGGCTTCGACATCGAGTACACGGCACTGCAGTCCAAGAAGGCGCTGCAGTTCGGTGGCGTCCACGTGCACAAGCTGTTCAACTTTGAACCGCGCCACGAGAAGCAGCCGCCGCACATCCAGGCCAAGGTTGCCGTCAGCTCTCTCAGCCAAGCGCCTGGTCGGTGGGCCCTGCTTCAGGTGACCCACTGCTTTTTCATTGAAGAAGTGGGGTTGTTGAGTGCCCAGACTATCGCCGCCATGGACATCGTCTTGCGAGTAATCCGAAACATCCAGGTGCCGTTCGGTGGTGCGGTTGTGATGGCCAGTGGGGCGGTTCCTTAGCTGGCGCAGTTGAACTTCCCCGCCTCCTGCTTGCCAAACACCATGGTCGCAGCGTCCAGGATATCGTCCCAACTGTCCACAAAGTTGCAATTCTGCTCGACGATCTGCCACGCTTTGGCGATATCGGCGGGGGAACTCTGCGGCTTCTGTGCCTGAATAATGTCGATGCCGCTGTGTGTCTGTGACCATGGTTTTGTTGGTGTGATGGTGGTGTTATGTAGGTGGCAGCCGACGCGCAATCGACGGTTGGTCCAGCGCATTGCGAAGAAGGTCAGTGAGCCCGATCAGCTCACGGTGTGGGACGGCACGTGCATGCGGTTCAGCAGCAATCTCAACGACCGAGGCATCTCCAATGGGCGCTTGTGCTTTGTCGGCGACGCGTCCCACTGTGCGGATCCGCAGAGCCCGTACATTGCCGTGCGGGTGGCACCTCTGGATGTTGACATCGGCCAGCT